AAGCCTAACAACAAGAATACCACCCAACGTACAAGACTTTTGGAATTGTGATGTATTGTATTGGCTTCAAGATACAGCTGTTCTTTTCTGGAACAGGTTGACACCAAGCTCATTTTCTTTATTGTGACATTTTAATAAAAAATAATCTAGATAAAAATATTTGCCACAGATATTTAAAGAATCCTAATTTAAGAACCATAACCGATTCAAAAACAAATTGACTGATTCAGTTATGGTAAACAAGGAAAGCATATAGATTTACATAATTGTATCCCCTTGCTACATCAGCATGAACAGGATTTAAAAGATCAATTGGGATATGTACCTCTTCATTTTAGTGAGAATACACATGTAATTTTTTTCATAAGGAAAAAATTAATCTCAACCCGTGATAATGCCTCACAAGGACCTCAATATTTTCAGGCATTCATTTGGTATATACACAGTCTTTCCATCCAGTCCAGCTTGTATTTCACGAATATATCCATATTGCAATGGAATCTCTCCAGTTTGAGAAGTGAAAAATTACCTATTTATGGAAAATGTCCAGACAACTCCCCCTCCTTTAGATACCAACTGAACTATAAATTAGTTCACAGTGATGAGAAACTGAGCTGTATTTTGTCACAGAGCAAATGATACCATTTACACAATGGACAGATGGCTGAGCATGATATAAAATGAAATTAGCAACAATGGACCGCAGATGGAGATAAGAGAAAGGTCAGGAGTTAAAAGGTCAGAGGAGCTTGGATCTACATTGCTTTGTTGCATGCAGGATTAAAGACCACAGCTGAAATGGCTGTACTTAATGTACATGGGGGGAGGGGGAGCTTTGTCCAGTATATGGAGAATCTAAACACTCACCCACGGTTGTTCAAAACTATAGGTACGTCTGCGGTCTTCCACATCTTCATCTTGCTTTGCTTGCTGAAATTCTTGCCTCAGACGCTGTATCCGGTCATGATTGCTAGGAGTTGATCTGTTGCTAAAAGGAGGAGGAGGTAAAGGATGAACACACTTTAGAACCATAATATGTGAAATTTGGTTAATAGGAAAATGGCAGCTTCTTGTGAAATGACACTACTTTAGAAGTAATGAAAGAATTTTAAAACAAGTTGCTGGCATTAAATAAAATGTTCTTCCATTTGTTCTTATTATTAATGCTGTTTGCAGCTTTAAAAGAAATTTTCAAACAGAATGAGAATAAGACTAGTCAGGCAATTTTAAAATGCAATTTCTAAACTCATCAAAGCAAATTGGCACTTCTACAGTTAATGTTACCACAGAGATTATAAAGTACAAAGAATAATATTCATTCGCATCAGACAAACTCGTAGATTAAAAATGAGGAACATATAGAAAAATTGCCATAATGACCGCTAATATTTAATAAACATGGGAGATACTCATTCACCATTCAATCTATAGTACTGATGTCAGATCTTTAGTTTCATCAAATTAATTTATGATATTTGGAAATTCTGTCTACACACGATTTGATTATTTTCTTCCAATCAATAAGAACCTGTCAGCCCTTAGTTCTGTTTCTAACAAGTCTTTTAAACTGATATTTTGATATCATTAAAAGCCTAATGGAAAAGTAAAATTAAAAATATTTGACAGTACAATATTCAAGAACATAGCTGGGCCATAGGCTCACAAAAACACTTTCAGGTTACAGGCTTGTTGACATCCTGTGACATTCCTGTATTCTGTGGAAGATTGAATAACATTATAGTTTTTTTTATGTACAGTCATACGCAGACTTGAACTATTTAAAACCATAAATTTTCCATAATGGCAGTAACAGGTAATCCCCTCTCCAAAGTACATTTTAAGCTTGATTTATGTGAAACCATCATGAAATATGCACAGGAACGGCTAGTTTAATAAAGCAGATAGAAAAGTGGATATTCATTAATCTCATTGCCATTTTTCCAGCTTCTCTGGTCTTCCCTCACTTCTCTTCGCCCCCCTTCTCCCCCCCCTTCTAGCCTACTTCAGAGTTTTTGATGTGGGAATTGTAGGATGCCTGACAAACAAATCTTTTATATTAAGGCTAACCAGAAGCAATTCTTTCTCCATTTTAATCTCTTATTCTGGGGCTCTAAAACTCTGCATTTATTGCCTTCTGTTAAAAGTGCTGATGAAAAAATGTTATATTATTACATTGTTTCAAATGAGAAAGCTAAAGAGAAACAGTGAAGAATAATTCCATAGATATGTAGACTTAGACACTGTACATAGAAAGAGCACAATGCACACAAATCCCAGATCATCCCCTTCCTTAGGAAAAAAAATCAGAGGGGGAAGAAATTCTGAAGTCTCACTTCCGGAGTTTTCCCCGCTCTATCCCCTCTGGTGGGAGGGACTTGAAGACTATAGATTTCTCAGGTCATGTCACCTCCCCCAGTCCTGTTGGAGCTGTACAGCTCTTGTCTGTGTTAATCTGCAGTGATACCATGCACTTTGACTTTTGTAATTGGCACAGTTCAATACAAGTACAAAATATTTTTTGGTATAGTTTGCTGATTTTCAAAACTAGAGATTCTTACCATAACAAACAAGCAATATAGTAGCAGAGTATGTATAAGATGCAATGCAAAATACATGCAGACTTGCTGACATGTTTTTAATTGTTAGGCTTTAAGAGGTAAGAATATTTTGTGTGTGCAACACCATTTAGTTGTGGTAAAAAGAGATTAGCAAGTAGCTCCAGTTAGGCCACTTGATGTACTTTAAATGATCAATGAATATGCGGGAGCTCATCAGTCAGGAGATGTGGTTCATTTCAAACGCAGAACAGACAACAGCATAAGAGAGCCACTGAATGAACTGAGGGGATTAGCCTCTTGGGGGCACAGCAGGAAAGAAGGCATGACAATAAAGAGCTGACTCTGTTTATTGGTAAGAAAAAGTACTGCAGTAAGGCAGCTTGTGCTAAAGTGTTGGGACAATAAGCCAAAATAGAGTCCACAGATTAAATGGAATTAAGGCATTCTATTAACCACAAAATGGGTGAAGGGGTTATTGTAGAAAACATACTGTAAAAAACTTTGGCTCATTCTATGGATGCTGTTAAAAATAATTCCATCAACAGTTGAATATTACACAAAATAATCAATAAAGGTATTGTAAACGATAATGGTTAAGCCTCCTCTGGAATTGTATGCTCAGCGGGTTGGTCGTCTTTTCACTGGAATGAGATGGAGCAATGGAGGGTAAGGAGGACCGCAGGATTTATGAATAACTTCTCCAAAAACTCTAAAAAGGATACATTGTACATAATTGCATAAAGAAAATGTCAAGCTGACTTAAGAGAAGCATTCAAGTTACTAATGGCTTTGCTACAGATAGACAAGAAAAACCTTCCACATGTTTTCTATTCTACTCCCGACTGAAAAAGTGAGGGACAAAATCTAAAATTAGAAAATGGAGAGAGGTGGGGGATGGAGCTCTAGGACTATTTCATTGAAAAAATAGATCATTAAAGAACAAAATCACTTCAGTCTCCCAGCACAATTGCCACCCAAAATTCCTTGTGCACAAAAAGTCACAAAGATACAGAATAAATTAGATCAAGTGACCATATATTATTTAAAAAACTTTAAAAAAAGTAAGAGAGAAGATGGGGAATTGGAGGAATGTTAGGATAAAATAGGGAGGTGGATTTAAGAAACCTTTAAGGGAAGGACAGATTTTTTTTGGTGGGGGGGAGGGTTGAGGAGGAGCACATGTTGCCTCTCTTTTATTTTATTGTTTTCATTCTCAGCCCTGCACTATGCCCCTTTCTTGAATCACTCCAGTGATCTCCTTGCCCATTATATCAAGTTTAAACTTTTCATTCTTGTCTTCAAGGCCCTGCACAACTCCACCATGGCCTGCCACCCAAGCTCGTTTCTTTCCACCTTTCTCCTCTCCTTTTTAATTCCACCATCAGCTCCTTTGTTTCCTTCACCCGCTCCCATCTTTGCATGCTTCTATGCATAAAATGACCAGTAAGCCACGAGAAAACCCTATCCTCAGCAAAAGCCTTCTTGAACATTCATGCATTTCTTCCATGAGGAAGTGAAAAAACAAGAAAGAAATTAGATAAATGAAACAGAAACATAAAACCACACACACAAAACAACTGTTCTAAAATTACTTCTCTCCTGTGTCTTCCAGTGTGTGTGTTGTCTAATCTATGGCTGCCTTATAGACCTCAAGCTCCTTGGGGCAAGGACTGTCTTTATGTTAGTCTTGTATAGCACTTAATGAATAATAAATAACCTAGCAAGTTCTAGAAAGTACTCTAGGAGAGAGAAGCTTTGTCCCAGGCTGCTTAAAATTCTCCTTTGCTGGAGGGAACTTGTACAGAACCAGTACTGGTTGAGGATGGGTAATAGCCAGAGTGGCTTACTTATAAGCACTATCTTACATTTTCGTTTGTGTTTTGCATTCACATGAACCCAAAATTTAAAAGCCAATTCAATCCAAACTGTCCAGAATTATCTATGGGGAGGAAGGAGTTTAACTAGAAACTTAGCCTTGGTTTATTTGAAAGTTGGCATATGTGAAGCTGGACTGAGTTTCAGCTTTGTATAATAAACCAGCTATTGCCTAGTTTGTGCTGTTGTTACAAACCTTTCACTCAGCTGCAATTTACTTCAAGAGAGGGTGCCCACAACTTCGCAGAAGACAATCAGCACCTCACAGGATCAGGTACTTGTGAGAACCCAGTTTTTGTGAAGACAAATTAAATTTCCCCTTGCTCCAATTACTAACAGTTCTTGAACAAAATCAAGAGGAAAGTTTTCAGGGCCAAACTCAGCCCTGGTGTAAGCCAGCACAATTCCATTTGCTGCAACGGAGTTGGGCCTGTTTACACCAGTTCTGCATGTGGCCTTTAGTTATCTTTCGACTACAGATGGTACATTTAACAGTCGGCTCTTTCATGTATGCTACTTAAAACACAGTCACCTGCATGGGCTAAAAAAAAAAAAAGCAACTGTAAGCAAAGCTCATATAGACCAGACCTGTCACATATTTTCAGTAACAGTCAGCCACAGCAATGACCATAAGAGTCTCAAATCATTAAGCAATGTCTCACTGTGATGTCATGCATTGATGTACAGAGCTGTAATCCTTTCAAAACAGACATTGTCAGTGTGATAAAGTGGATACAAACAAGCTTCTGAACAGGGATGACTAAAGCTTTGGAAAAATTCATTGGCCTGAAAAAGGAGGAAAAAGGGTCCTAACACTACCACCGCCAGGCTGTAACAACCCAGCTAGAATAACCAAAAGGTTAGTAAATTAACAATGTTTCTTACACCTTGAAATTTTTCAACATGGATTGGAGCTGCCTGGTATTCCATGATCTAGCTAGCTGCTTAGATCTCCCGATTGCAGTTATAAAACACAAATGTAATAACTGCGTTCCTAATCATGGCAAGCTAGCGAGCAAACATAACTACTTGTACTAATCACATTTCTTTAAGTTTAGACAGAATACTCATCTGACTTAAACTTTCTTATGTTACTTTAAAAATCAAGAGTTTGATATCTCTCTAGCCACAGCTAGAAGCAAGTAGAAAATGTGTTCCCAGGAATTTTAAAAGGTTGCCTCATTGGTTATTAATGGCGTTATCACTCTTGGGGCAATGCATTAGCCTGCCCAATATATGCTTGCCAAAGTTCAGAACTAGCTGAGCGTGTATTAAATTGGACCTGTCTTCATTGCTAGGGCAGGATAAAATAGAGGAACAGTGCTAGGGCAGTGTTAATCCACTGTAAAAGCTTCCACTAAATTTAATGGAATTAGAATACCTTTCCCACAACAGCACTCATTCAAAGCAGATGGGCTTGTCTCAAATCACTCAAACAGGTGACTAAACAGCAACTGTCATGTTGTTGCAAAAAAGATGAGGACATATGGTAAAATGGCATGAAAAACATTCCTGGATTTAACTTTAAGGTTAATGCTATACTAGACCATGCAGCCCACTATTCTACAAGTTCTAAGTGAGTTTATAAACAGCGAGTGACATGGATGGATGTATCCAGACCCAATATGGTTAATACTTGGTTGGTAAGCTAGGTACTTAATAGTCCTTCTGTCTTCCATCAATCTAGCTGGAACTCCCTAAGCATGTCTGTGTTACTAGTTTGGTCAATCATTCTTCTGTCTAGCAGTCTGTGCTGCAGGTATCCAGAATGCATAGTCCCACATGCCACTGGTGCCATTTTGTGTGCGTGTCCTCCTCACCCTCACTTTCAGAGGCATTATGGAATATAGGCACAGATTTTCCCAGAGTGCACTTACATGGCTAGGCAGCATAGTACTGGATGTGCAAACGGGGCTAACATAGGGTTGCATCGTGTAAAGGAGTAACACTGATCAAATAAATTGGTTAGTCTCCAACGTGCCACTAGTACTCCTTTTCTTAATGTGATCACAACTCAACAGTGTGTGTTATAATAGGGTCAGATGAGTGTGTCACAAACGGATTTAAATACCAACAGTTGTAAAGGTACTATGGAACGGGACTTAGGAAGGTGGGTCTTTTATTGCTCCTGTTTTCTGCAAGTTCCAAAGAATTTATGAGACATGGGGCAAGGGGGAAGGTGTTTAAAGAAGAAAATGTATCAATTACTAAAATTCAAATAAAAATAGCTTCTCTGCACAAGCTTCATTAAGTTTTATCAGCTAGTATCTTGGGGTTTTACACTCAAACCACAGGTCATAAATTCACAGTAAATCTCCCATATGTTCAGCAAACACCTGAATTCAATTTCTCTTGTAGCTGTAGAGACTGAATGTGTTGCTCAAATTAATTATGTATGCAAAGTTAGTTTCTAACAGGGACAGCTTCTTGCATGTTGAAGGGTATACCTCCCATTTGAATTTTCTTTCACAGATCTTTTTCAATCTTAGTTTATTTCTACCATATACAGAGTTACAAAAGCCCCTCTCTGCCATTTCATATTTGCAAAGTGAATACAGAGAATAATATCTCCTTTCATGTTTGTACTTTTTAAAATGTAGCTAAACTCAGGGATCAGCTTAATATGACAAGCAAGATCTCTTCACATTTTACCCCAGTCATATATATATACACACACACAATGGTATATTAATTCCCATCAAAACAAGGCTATAAATACTAGGATATATGTCAGTGTGTATGTGTGAAATCAGCTACTTAGGAAGTTTGATGACTTTTCCAGTTTACTTTCACAGTTTTAAGCATCATCTCTAAAATGAAAAGTATTATGAGAAAGTTATGCAAATCCCCGAAGGCACTCAACTTCCTTCAGCTGATAAAAGTCATTTCCAGATTTTGACACTGTGATTTGTTGTCCATTTCACACCAATTTCAATGTAGTAAATCATCACAAATTAAAAATACACAGCTCTATTCTCTGGGTTAAAATGGTGGTCTCCAAAGCTGTTAATATGGCATTTGCTTTTGATGTGATAACTCTAGTCCTCTGGATATTTTATAGCTGATAGGGAGGTCGCTTCAGCAGACTCTTCAAACTCTCAAGACTAGTTTTCACTTCCAACCCCTATGTGGTCATTTTGTAGCAGGGCCATCATTTTACAACCAGTGAAATCTGAGGAATGCACCCAAGACCCCTTTTATTGCGACCATCTTTCTTCCTTATTAGCCTGTCAGAGCTCACATGTGGGAGACAGAAATTCTGTTTTGCATTTCAGGGGAATTCTTTGACTAAAAAGCAAATATTTTAGAAGCCTGCAATAAACATGTGAATTCAGATATTAAGCAACTGAGCTATTTCGAAGTCTAATCCTTACTTTAGAGCTGTGAGGTTGTACAGAAACAATCCAAGCCAATTTCAAATCGTAAACAACTGTAAAGTCTGCTGCAGTCATGGCCATAGATGATTTTGTTTAAAATGCCAGAGTAAAAAAAACACTTCCTTATTTTTAATTTTTTAACATACTATTATGATTTATTATTTTTTAAAAAAATATAGAAAAGAGAATGTAAATCATTTGACTCAAGGGAAGACCTTTTCAGAATATTAAGGGGGAGGTAGATGAACCCATGAGAAGAATCAACAAATCCCTCAATGGTGTAAAATACAGGTGATCAGTATGAGAGAGATCAGCATAGGAGAGATTAGTCTTCTTGACCACAGATGAAGCATAAAAAATATGCTAGAGAAGGGGTGAGAGGCAGTCTGTGAACTTCAAAATATTTTCCTACACCAACATTGAAAGCAATATCTTTTTGATGATGGATCCAGTCCTGCAAAGTCCGATGCAGGTAACCGTACATATGATTAATCTCCATAGGATGCTGTGTGGAAGGCCTTGTCTCCTCTAGGAGGGCTTTGCTGCTATAGTTACACCAGTGTATTTAACTGATGAAACGCTCTTAGCTGGACATGGTAATTTCAGTATAACTGTGCTTATACCACTATAGTTTATGCCGGTTGGCCCACTAGTCTAACTGCGTCCACAGTAGGTCTTATACCGGCATAGCTATGTAGAGTAAAAAAATTGCACCATTAACTGACATAGCAATAGTAGCACAATTATTAATGTAGACCAGGCCTAAGTCTCTGCAGGATGGGGGCCTAAATACTTACAAATAAATTATATTCACAGAAAAGGAGGACTTACGGCACCTTAGAGACTAACCAATTTATTTGAGCATAAGCTTTCGTGAGCTACAGCTCACTTCATCGGATGCATTCAGTGTTCACAGAGCAAGTGACTCTGATTATACAATTGATTTTAAAGTCATCAGCAAATTTCAACATGAAATTTTAGTGCATACTTTTATTTACATATCTGAACTGTACCCTTTAGTTCTCTTTCAACGTCAACAAGCTTATTTTCTTTATATGGTCAGCAGGGTTCTATGTCATGCTTAGCGAACTGCTAGAAAGTATATTAGAGAACGGAAAAGCATTTTTTGATTGATTGTTTTTTCTCTTAACCACTGAAATGATCCATAAAAAATTCTATATCGTGGTGTTGTGTATATGAAAAACAAATAGTATTTTCTCTAGACTGAAATGCACATTTGCTTTCAGTAAAAATGAAATCTTTGTTTAAAAAAATAAAAGTAATAAAACCACAATGTCAAGGACCATATCACTGGCTGGAAGTTGAAGCTAGACAAATTCATACTGGAAATAAGGCATACATTTTTAACAGTGAGAGTAACTGACCACTGGAACAATTTGCCAAAGGTCATTGTGGATTCTCCATCACTGGCAATTTTAAAAATTAAGATTGGATGTTTTTCTAAAAGATATGCTCCAGGAATTATTTTCAGGAAGTCCTACGACCTGTGTTATACAGGAGGTCAGATTAGATGATCATAGTGGTCCCTTCTTACCTTGGAATCTATTAATTAGTAAAGTAATATAGCAATACAAATTTAATTGAAGGACCTGAACAGTTTTGATGATACAACATTGCACAGTATTCACGTGGTCATATTAGAGATAGTCCCCCATTCCCTTACCACTCCATAATCAAATTCCAGTACAATTATTTTAATTCTTTAACTGTGGGATATTTACATATAAATCCCAAACTAATATTTTCATTGTTTGTACCTTCTCCCTTTCTCACTAATGACAGATTAATTTCCATATACCAGATGGGAAACAGTCTATTTTAAAACATTGACATGGGCCCAAGCATTTCAGAGGCTGATCCAAACTTCAGAAGTGTTCAGATCCAGTTGCCATTATGGGTATTGATCCCACTCCCACTAAAATCCAGGGTAGTGTTGGGATAAACTTCAGAAGGTGCAATATCAGAAGGGGGCTAGCTGCTGAGTTAAGATTCATGATCACACCTAAAATTTTCTAAAGTCTGGGGACATTTGCGATCAAGGCTTTGGGTTGGACCATCTTGAAAATTTTCACCAGCTCTCATGAAACCAGCAATACTCCACTTGAATCAACCAGCAAAAAAAAATGGAAATCAAAGGTAAGTCTGATTACTTGAATTCATGCCTACATGCATTTCCTATAGATACTTCTTTCTTATGAAATTAACCTCCTAGTTTTATATACTGATTAGAAGAAAAACTAATTAAGATTAAAATATATAAATATTTGCATATGAAGACTTCTTAAAAAATCTTTAAAAACTTGGTTGATCAAAACACCTTTATTTCTGCGTAAAATCACATTGGGCCTGAAACGTATTTACTAAAATACTTTTAGTGACTGATATAGTAATTTCCTGCAATATCTTTGGGAGAACTTACTGTATTAAGTTTATTCATCATTGTTGGCCTGGGATTGTATGGACTTCCATGGGGAACGGTAACCCCTACTCCTCCAGGAATTAAGAACAGTGGGGGACGATTAGGCAAATTCACTCAGGTTGCAACACCTCCAGAGAATTAACATCAGAGGCTTGCATATATGAGTTCAAATTGAATTCTCCAGAGACCAATAGACAAAGAAAGGAATTTTGATTAATAGTATGGCTAGCAAGCGATTAAAAATATTAATGTCAATTAATCGCGATTATGATTAATCACACTGTTAAACAATAATAGAATACCTTTTACTGAAATTTTTGGATGTGTTTTCTACATTTTCAAATATATTGATTTCAATTACAATAGAGTATAGGGCACACTTTATATTTATTTTTTATTACAAATATTTGTGTTGAAAAAAACAAAAGAAATAATATTTTTCAATTCACCTCATAAGTACTGTAATGCAATGTATTTATCATGAAAGTTGAACTTACAAATGTAGAATTATGTACAAAAAACAACTGCATTCAAAAATTAAACAATGTAAAACTTTAGAGCTTACAAGTCCATTCAGTCCTACTTCTAGTTCAGCCTGTCACTCAGACGAAAGTTTGTTTACATTTGCGGAAGATAATGCTGCCCGATTCTAGTTTACAATGTCACCTGAAAGTGAGAACAGGCATTCACATGGCATTGTTGTAGCCGGTGTAGCAAGATATCTTGGTGCCAGATGCACTGAAGATTCCTATGTCCCTTCATACTTCAACTATCATTCCAGAGGACATGTGTCCATGCTGATGACGGGTCCTGCTCGATAACCATCCAAAGAAGTGCAGACTGACTCATATTCACTTTCATCATCTGAGTCAGATGTCACCAGCAGAAGGTTGATTTTCTTTTCTGGTGGTTTGGGTTCTGTAGTTTCTGCATCACAGTGTTGCTCTTTTAAGACTTCTGAAAGCATGCTCCACACCTCGTCCCTCTCAGATTTTGGAAGGCACTTCAGATTCTTAAACCTTTGGTTCAGTGCTGCACCTATCTTCAGAAATCTCACATTGATACCTTCTTTGCTTTGTCAAATCTGCAGTGAAAGTGTTCTTAAAATGAACAACATGTGCTGGGTCATCATCCAAGAAAGATATAACATGAAATATACGGCAGAATGTGGGTAAAACAGAGTAGGAGACATACTATTTTCCCCCAAGGAGTTCAGTCAAAATTTAATTAACGCATTTTTTTAATGAGTGTCATCAGCACGGAAGCATATCTTCTGGAATGGTGGCTGAAGCATGAAGGGGCATACAAATATTTAGCATATCTGGCATGTAAAAACCTTATAATGCCGACTACAAAAGTGCCATGTGAATGCCTGTTCTCACTTTCAGGTGACATTGAAACTAAGAAAACAGGTAGCAGTATCTCCTGTAAATTTAAACAATCTTGTTTGCCTTAGCAATTGACTGAACAAGAAGTATGACTGAGTAGACTTTTAGACTCTAAAGCAGGGGTGGGCAAACTTGTTGGTCCGAGGGCCACATCTGGGAATAGAAATTGTATGGGGGACCATGAATGCTCATAAAGTTGGGGTTTGGGGTGCGGGAGAGGGTGAGGATGAGGGCTCTGGTTGGGGCTGTGCACTCTGAGGTGGGGCTGTGGTTGGGGAGTTTGGGGTGCATGAGGGCTAGGATTGAGGGGTTTGGAGGGCAGGAGGGGGATCAGGGCTGGGGCAGGGGGAGAGGCTATGGGGTGCAGGCTCTGGGTGTCGCTTACCTCAAGCGCCTCCTGGAAGCAGCGGCATGTCCCTTCTCCGTCTCCTATGCGGAGGCGCAGCCAGTTGGCTCTGCACGCTGCCCCCTCCACAGGCACCACCCTTGCCGCTCCCATTGGAGCGCTGAAGGGGGCCATTGCAGTGGGGCCACTGGAAAGCATAGGAGCCAGAAGGGGGCCATGCCGCAGCTTCCAGGAGTGGCCCCTGATTCTGCACCCCAGCTGGAGCGCCGGAGCGGGACAAGTCCCAGACCCCGCTCACCAGCGGGAGCTCGAGGACCTGCTAAAAATGGCTGGCGGGCTGCAGTTTGCTCACCCCTGCTCCAAAGTTTACATTGTTTTTTTGAGTGCAGTAATGTAACAAAAAAAAAAAATCTACATTTGTAAGTTGCACTTTCCTACTAAAGAGAGTGCATTACGGTACTTGTATGAGGTGAATTGAAAAATACTGTTTCTTTTGTTTATCATTTTTACAGTGCAAGTATCTGTAATAAAAATAATAATATAAAGTGAGCACTGTACACATATTCTGTGTTGTAACTGAAATCGATATATTTGAAAATGTAGAAAAACATCCAAAAATATTTAATAAATTTCAATTGGTATTCTATTGTTTAACAGTGCGATTAAAACGGCGATTAACTTTTTTGAGTTAAATCGTGTGAGTTAACTGCGTTTAATCGACAGCCCTTATGAATAGCCTGAGTTTAAACTGACTCAGGGCCTTCTTTCTGATCCAGCAAACAGATAGGATTTCCAGTCCAACGAGGGCCCCAACTCATAGGGAAGGGTCGGAAAGACTTTGGCTTACTGAGCCCCTACAACTGATGAGTGACCCTGGTAAGCTATTAGCATGCATATAGAAATGTTATTGTTTTTATTATTTTCTCTGTTATGCTTTTACCTTAAGAATAAATAGAAAGAGCTGTGTGGTAACTTACAACTGTGGGTAATACACTGGTCATTCTTCTAGAGAGAGAGCTAACCACAGAGCCTCCATTTTAGACTCTCTGTCTTGCTGGGAATATCACAATGTATGCAGGGAACTGTGCAGCCTTAAAGAAGCCCCCATCAGGAGAGAGTGAAATGTGCCCAAGGGACTTGATGGCTGGGAGCTTGAAGGCTAGAGGGGTACCCTTGAGGGACCATAAAGGGGGAATACAGGTGCAGTTTCCGTGAAACCGTGACACTTTTCCTTTACTGTTTTTATCCTTTATTATAACCACTTTTGTCTCGTATAATTTAAAACTACAAATTGTCATAAATGTTACAGTCAAAAGAGTTACCTTCAATAGAATTAATTCATCTAGTTTTCTTTTTTGAGCTGAAAAGCAGGTTTTGCCAGTTAAGATGACTGCAAATTATTTCTGTGTTTGGATACCTTAAATGTTACTTTTCTTTTTAAATTCCTATTTGGCATGTACAGCGAAGGACCCAGTCCTGAAGGAGAAATGTTGATTTTGCCATGTTTAAGAAAACTGGATTAGAAACTGTTATAAGTCTACTTTACTTCTGCGTTGTGTTACTTTTCTTTATGTTTCCAACAAGAAACAGACTTAAGATACTTCAACGTACACATATTCCTCTTATCACGGCAGACCGCAGCAGGAATGAGATTTATCCAGGACAACCAGAGTTACTAAAACATGAGGTAAAGCTGGCACCAAGATGACTAGCCTGGAGGAAATTATGAAAAAGCGAAGGGGTTTTCCTTTTTCAACAGGAAACAAAGCCTGAGGTTTTGTAATTGTGCTTCGTGAAGGTAGCAACCTGAAGAGAGTGGCAGCATTGTCTAACACTTGAGTAATACAGTAGGAGGCAGATTTATGAGTCAAGATTTGTCCCTACCACTGACACTCTCTGGGCTTCAGGCAACTGCAAAAGAAGTAATGCCCACCTTTATAAGGTGCTTTGCGAGTCAAAGTAAGTGCTATATACAAAGTACAAATTTATTTTAATTATTACATCGTGAGTGGTTTTTTACAGAATACAATGCCTTATAACATATGATTCTCACTTACAGAAAAACCATATATTATAGTACAACTACATCTACTATATGTGAAACTTAGCAAGTCAACTGTTCTGTGGTTAAAACCTCTTTAGCTTTGCTCATTTGTTTTTTAACTTTAATGGTATCTCAACAAATGCTATTAAATTGCAGGATTTTTTGCTATGAACAGAAATGAAAAATGTATAATAAATAATACCACTTAATCTGTCAAATGCCCTTAACATGATGTTGAAATTATAATCTTAAAGACTTGCACTAATATCATTTCATTTTGCCTTTCTTATAGTCTTCATCAACTTGTGTTGATAATGTTTCATTTTGACATCATAATAGTATCTCCATGGATTCAGGATGACATTGTGTTTTGACATCATGTTAAAAAAAATATACGCAATTGATATCACGTCATTGTCACCCTAATATTGTCTCTCTTGGATTTGAATTATATTATTTTATTTTGATAGCCTTTCCATTAAAATGGGTGGTAAAATATGACAGTTGCTAAAATAAAGTTATGAAAATGTTCTGCATAGTTGTTGTTGGGTTTTTGCTGCTGCTGTTGAAACTTGAATATTCAAAATACAGTAAGGAATTGGTTCTGTATGGGGGTGATCGTCAGCTGGTATAAAGTGCCATAGCTCTGTCAATGGGTCTATGTCAATTCACTCCAGATGATGATCTGCTCCTAAGAGAATGTAAAATGCCTTTTGTTCTAGAGTTTGGTAAAAATGTGTCCGGATTTATTCTCCCATTTCAGAAATTCACGCACGAGCTCCAACAGCAAAAATATCCTTGCAGATCAGTTGTCGTTTTCAGAATGTCTAAACTGCATGTTTCATTCTTCTATGTGTACTCACCAGAAAGTCTCTTCTGAATACCATTAAAAAGATGAGTTTTTGTGTCCATGTATACTGAGCAGAAATTATTCTCTGAATATTTTAAAAATGTTATATCTATTGATGATTCATCATCTTCCCTAAAATGGAAACTATTATACACGTTATTGTGAATGAAACATAGTATCCACAGTACAAGTGCAGTTCTATAAAATGCAATACTTGGCCAGATCCTCAGTTGGTGTAAATCAGGGTATATCCACTAAAGAAGCCAGTGTTAAAGTATAAATTGTGAGCTTATGTTCTCCTGTGATAAACACAAAATTAAAGAGATTAATTCTGGAATGGGTGCACTACAGCTAACAGCTTTACCTGGTCTATTAGGAAATTACATATCATACCATGTTTAACCATTTAGAGCGATATCACTCAACAACTTAGTTTAGTTATTTTCTAGTTCTTTAATTTTCTTATAGAAAATCAAACAGCATCTTTTCATTTAATACATTTAATGTATTAAAAAGTATATTTACTCCGTACTATAGTCCACATCCTATTTACAAATGCTCACTGATAAATTCTCTAATTTTTAACATTACTGCATAAGACTCTTCTTGTGCTTAAATCTGATCAAACAGATTATAGAATTTTCCTCCTTTCCCCCATCCTACTGAAGTCATCATGTTTAGCAGAAATTTCCTGTTTTATCTTATTTTAGAGAGTCCAGAAAGGTTTATTTGAGACAATCCTCTGATCCCATTTCATGAATAAAGATCAATGTTACTTAATGTACTGGCCTTGGGAAAAGGATAGTCTACACATTCGATCTATCCAGTAAAGTTGTTTCTATGAAAAGAAAAAACACCAAAATATCATATTTTTGCTACCATCAATATTCATATGTTTAAAAGACTTTTACTGCCTCTCTCGTTCTGGAATTATGAAGTGTTTTCCGGAGCTCTGTGGCTGACAGTCCACAGATGAGAAGAACTTGGAATTATTCAAACAGTTCTTGAAAGCATTTTATAATTCCTAAAAGACAGTTAAGTCAGTCTTTATAAATATATTATAAAGCTAACTGTGGGAGGAAAAAATGTACACCACAAGAGGCAGTATAGTTATTAAATAAATAACAGAGGGCCAGATTGTACCCTGACATGCCAATACATATACAGGAGCCAGTATACTCTTTCGGAGTTTCCTCTGGTTTCTTCTGTCAAGAAGGGGCTGTCCCTAGTGGAAATGTGCAGACTATTAACCCAACAGATCTCAGGGATCTGACACAAATTACTTTGTCTTGATGCACAAGGCCAAGATGAAGGATTTCATCCTAGAGCCTGTAGTTATTTGTAAGGCCATGCTGTGGAACTGGGACCATTTTATGAAAAATTGTGCTCTTGATCCTGATTGGCACTGAGCGCCCCTCTCCCCACAGACTAGAAAGCATACAGACTAATAAATTATTTGAACTGAACTGCTTATATAGTAAAGGTATATCTTCTGTTTAACAAAATGCTGACATTTATTAAAAATTAAGTATGTATCAATTCCTTTACGGTACGTGAAAAATTCCTCAGAGGAAGCTCCTCCAAATTATCTGAAAAATTATACGAATTCCAGTTTGCTTTTTATCTTTCTCAACACAATTAGCATCATGATTTATATAATGAGTTCTTCAATGACATAGACTAAAGAAACATTCACAAAATGCTGAAGTAGTGTTAATGGTTACTCTCTGGTAACTTGATGAGTTTGTTAAATTATAGTCAATAATAACTTCACAGTAACTTCACGGAAAATAGATTTATGGCACAATGGTAACACACTAAGTCAAGGTTGTATCAAGACAGGTCACACGTTAACTTTGTCATGAGAGACTGTTATGACCTAGTAAAGAGAGTTACCATGTAATGTATTACAAGATTTCATGTGCTATCATTGTTAAACTCAGGGTAATATCATCACCTGCAGTGGCTACTTCCCTGAAAAAGGAAAGGAAACTCCCATAGTATCTACTAGAATTTGCCCACTGAAACAAAAATAAAAGCATGGGTCCCAGAAATGAACTTGGACCATTATATTTCTATCTTGTTATAGGGCTTCATTCTTATGATTGAGATGAACCTACGAAGAGGATAGGAAATTCATGGAATTTAAACTCAATTTCCTTTGAATTTTTCCATGAGGACTGTATGATGCTTTGCTTCTCAGGGAAAAAGCCTGGGATTATGGTCACTTAACCCAGAAATGCTGGGGATCCATAAACTGCCCTTTACCTCCCCCTTTATGACCTGGCCCCTTCAAATTCCCTGGTCCCCTGGAGAACATGGCCTTTGCAGGACCCCTGTTCCCAGGGGCTCCACTGTCTGCAGTTACCCGTAGGTGGTTCCACAGTATGGAAGGAGAGACAGCATGAGTCTATATAGTCTTGGATTAAACAGCTCTTGTACAGAGCCTAACTGGAGGTGCTCCCACAGTCTGGGGAGAAAAGAACAGAATGTGTGACAGCAGGAGACCTTCCCACTTCTGTAGGCACTGGGGACTCCGCACATGGATGCAAAGGGAAGGAGAACAGGTCCTTAACTTTTAAGATAGAGAATTAAATAATCATAAAATTCTCATTTTAAGCAATAACCACAAATAAAAGTAACCTTAATCCATACTCCTTATATAGTATACCCTTCCCAATTCTATGTCATCAGCAATCTATCCAACTAAGCATTAAGACATGTCTATTTAACTGATTACAAATATAGGAATATATTCTATTCTACTTGACGCATACAGGTAGTTCCTTTCCTTGTTGTTATGAGTTAAAGGTGTACTGAGAGAACAATACAACTCACTAGGCTATCCTATTTATTTTAAATAAACCAAATGACATGTCTTATATTACAGCTGTGGCTTGATTACAACTGCCAAATTCAGGCGACATTTTTCCCAACTCTGTCATCCCTAGCAAATTACTTGCACTTGATGCACAGCACGTATAAAATAAACAGAAAACAAAACTCAGGCCAGTTTAATTTAAATTCTCATAATGGCAGGTCAAATTTATGTGACCTCTTTGGTGAATTGGTTCTTTTATTAGTACCCAGTTTAATTTCAAATCAGAGGCTTCTACCAAGAATTAATGAAATATTAATCAAAGTCCAGAGCAATCTCAGCTTCTGTTCCATTAACCTAAATGTGACTCCATACAGAACTACCAATTCAATAATATATATATATATATTTAAAAGAAGGCTTTTAGTCTTTTCACTTATGGTGCAGCTCATAGCAAATGTAGACCTGCTATTTGCAGTATGTGTTTTAAAGGTCATAATTTCTTTCCCTGTTCCAATTAAAGCTGCTCTTAATCACAGTTAAGCTTTCAAGAAACAATTAACAGAAGTCAAAACTTTTCTTCCTTGATACATTTAAGGGATGTACAGTGTGCGATGTGTCCCCTCTATTACCACTAGTGGCATTGAACTAATTGTATGATGTTAAGGGTTCACCTACTTGAGTGTAAATTTTAGTTTGAGTTGACACTAAAAAGAAACATCAATTTATTAGAAGATAAAACTTGTTCTGCAGTAATGGAACAGCTGTGTATATAAATTTATTGCAGCTTAATGTTCTCACACATAAAGCAATAAGGGCCTTCTGACAAACAGACTTGCTAAGTGTAAGGGGTAGCATATAGCAGTATGCAGCTCCAGCAGCAGCATATGTAAAATTGATTGCATTTATTTTGTACTATAATATCCTCTTCTCAAAACCAAAATTACAACATGACATATGATCTTATTTATTTATACACACACACACACACACACACACGTGAAATTTCCCCCTTCTGCAGTTTAGAAATCTTTACGCACTGAGTCTTTGTACTCTTAGAGACTTCTGTTTTAAAAGTGTTTATCCACAATTAAAATGAAACGCTGAACTTTAGTTTCCCTAGCCACAATATATATAGGTATCAGTTGAATACAATGTTTTATTGATATGTTTACAATTTTTTTTTTATTATCTAATCTGGCCCTGGGCCCAATTAGATCAGATCATTGGGGTGCCAACTGTATATGTTTTAATTTTTTCACAAAATGTAAAAACTAAAGATTCTCTACAAAAATGCAAATTCTGCATTTTTCCATGGCAAATGGATTGCCAGGATCTCTGGTCATCAGACTGTTTAAAAAAAATCTAAGGAGGTAATGATACGTGCTTATTTTTTTGCACACACCCACCCACCCATCCACTGTGGTCATGATAAATTTCTTTATTTCTGTAATTGTAAACTACAAACTCATAAAATGAACTGCATTTATTTTGCACCTTTTTCCCTCACCACCTACTCTCTGTCAAGTTGAGTACCTTTCAAACAGCTGCCATTTTTAACAAAATAGGCCTTGGATTAAATGTTTTTTTCTTTCCTTCCTCTTCAGAAAAAAACTACACTTATACTAGGTAAAGGGTTGACACATTCTACTTGTTGATTAAGGAGCATTTTAAATGTCAGATGCTTCTTGAACCATGCAGATTAGAAAGCGATACTGTATCCCACTGGAGAGCTGGAAATCTGGGCTAATGTACAAAGCATTTCTTCTAGCCCTAGGAGTCGGTGAGATATTAGACCTTGAAATGAAAACACATTGGTAACTGAGGCTACTTTGTTTTCCAGTTGGAAGGCTAAATAATTAGTATCAATAAAAACAAATGTAAGATTCTAAAGCAGAGTTCCTCATCCCATAGATCACAACCCAAAACCGGGTAACCAGAATGCATCAAAGGATCGCAGGAATGGCTCCCCACTCTGGGCATTGCAACCTGGTGCACGAGGTCACAGTGCAGCTCTGGTTTGGTCCAGCTGCCCCATGTCATGTTGATGGGGGGAAGGGGAAGCGCAGCTGGGCCAAATTTGAGTGGCATTGTGGCCCCATGCACCAGATCACCACCACCACGCTCACAAATTTGTCCCAGCCAGCCCTGCATCAGGGGGTCCAGGCGAAATCTGAGGAGCACTGCAGCCCCGGAGATAGCAATTCTTGGAGTGGGAGCTGAGCCCAGCCCACCCTAC